TTCTCTTTATTCAAGACCTTCCTTTCGTTATATTTTATATTTGGTGTTCCCTTATAATATAACTGACAGTTATGTCTAATCTCTACTAAATAGAGGGAAACACATGCAATTTTAAACAGCAGCAACAAACCTCAAAGGATTTACCTTAAATGATTTGTATCGTTCATCATTTAACACTTCTTTAGCTCTAGAACTCTCTCCTTCTTCGATAATCGCCTAAACAAAATAAAAAGAAAATAAAGATTAGGGTAAGATTCAGTAAAATAATCTAAAAGAAAGTCTTATCAACCTGTACAAACATGAAGGGCATCCTTAGCAAGCATATTGTTTTATTCCATTAGGATCAAATTCTGCAATCCTTTTTGAGACAGAAAAGTTACTGAAGGATGAAGGAGAAACTGGAACCACAAAAAATTTCACAGTACTTATTTACTCATAAATTTACTCGAGGATGAAGTAGATACTGGGACCATGGAATATATTTCACAGTACTTACTTACTCATAAATTCACAGTTAGAAAGCAGTTATTTATCATAAGCTATCAATGAGTTGTCCAGAAAATTAGATTTTATTATTTGGTTGAGTTTACTTATCTTAAAACTAAAAGCATTGTAAGAACAGATATATTTTTCCTTGAGTGTAATGTTCCTTCAGTAATTTTTATGAAAACAAACAAACAAACAAAAAGACCCCACCAATAAAACCCCAGCAAATCATCCTATCTTCTGTGGGATAACTGAACTCCCAGTCCCCAGGTAGTAGGTGCAAAGAGCGCTTCAGAGGCTACATTCTTAGCTGGTGGAGTGAGGCAAACGAGGAGCCAGAGTAACACATAATGCTCAGCAATGACCTCTCCAGACAGCTGAGACCCCCGATCAGCTGCCTGCAGGAATAACAGCATCAGAGATGTAGGGTCGTGAAAAGGATAGGAATTACAGAACAATGCAGGGAATACTCAAAGCTTCAGCAAGAATGTAAAGTTCATCCATCACCTAGATAAAAGGCTCTGCTATAACTCATAGGAAGGAAAGATTTAACATTAAAGTACTAAAATATTTACCAGTTTTGCAAAAATAGTATTTCTAATCGCAGAATCACAATCACAGAATGTTAGGAGTCGGAAGGGACCTCAAAAGATCATCCAGTCCAATCCCCCTGCCAGAGCAGGATCACCTAGAGTAGGTCACACAGGAACACATCCAGGTGTGTTTTGAATGTCTCCAGAGAAGGAGAATCCACAGCCTCTCTGGGCAGCCTGTTCCAGTGAAAAAGTTTTCCCTCATGTTCAGATTGAGCCTCCTATGCTCCAGCTTGCACCCATCACCCCTTGTCCTAACACTGGACATCAGAGAGAAGAGCCTGGCTCCTTCCTCCTGGCACTCACCCTTTACAAATTTATAAATTTTGATGTTTTCTCATCAAAAGCATTCAGGTGAGCAAAGTGATGTTGCCAAAGGCAGAAATCACATGAACAAAACTTAACAGTTAACCTGTCACATACAGATCAGAGTGAGCCTTTAAAAATTATATACAAAGATGACACGGCATTACTTATTAATTTGCATTTATTCATTAATTACAGTTATTCCTAAGGACAAGCTTCCATGACAGAACCTTATGTTTCTACGAAAGGTTTCCAGAAATGATTGTTTCTAAGCAACAAGGATAATACAGTGTTATTACAGGAAATAAAGAAGGTTGTGTAAATACACAGAGATATCAATGCTGCACTCTGTGGCCTCTAAAAGTAGATCTGTAAAAGAATCAATTGGCAGATAATTCAGAGGTACATTACCTCAATGACATCTCTGACTCGGTCTCCCATGCAGGGCAACCCTTGTATATCTTTCATTCTGGTTACTGGAAATGGAAGAAATTTCAGCACAGAAGCTGCTCTCAGAAATTCCAGGCAGAATATTTCATTTTCTTTGAACTCATAACTTTCAGCCATTATCTCAAAGGCATCCTGGGGAGGGAGAGAGGTGCAGAAAAAAGTTAAAGGTTAATAAAGCTTAAACCATTCCGAATACTCCTTAAAAAGGTTACTTTGAATGCTAATTCAAGAATGATTTCTTCATACTAGGGTGAAAAGATAGAGTTCATTAAAAAAATAAAGCATAATTTTCTAACCACTTGAAATTTTTCAGGTATCATAAGAATTGTACTTTAGAGGCAAATGTGGGAAAGGATTCTGATCTGTAACAAGGCCAAACTTAAAAATGTTTGTGAGACAGACTGTCCGTATTCTTTACAGATCTAATAAATCCATGTGAAATAGTGCCATGATTTTTAGAACCACACCCAAACATAAGTAACCCAGCAGGTCAGTACACGGCATCTTCATTTTCAGACACAACCAAATAGAGGTCTATGGCAATACTGGAAATCACCTTCTGTTTGAACTTGTAGTCATGCTTCTATTTAGTTATGTAGGGAACAAACTCACCTCTTCCTTGTTTTCAGATGTATGACCTATGCAAATAGAAATACATTTTCTTTACTGTTCTTCAGCTATCCATGGCTTAGTTTATTCAACATTGCACTGAAAACTACCTGGAGAGTGCTGGTACAATTTTTACCTTTTTTTTTTAACTACTCATATGTCATTTATGGAGATTCAGAGTCTCCCTCCCTTTCAGAATATATATATAAATATATATGTCTTAATAGCAGCAACTTTTAGAAATTAAATGCAAGGAAGATATTGCACAGTGGTGGAGAAGAGGGGCAGTTTTTCCAATGTAGAATAACATTCTACATTCTACATAACATTCTCCCATGTCTTGGGAGAGAACAAGTGCTGCAAAAAAAATTTGTAAAAAACCTAAGGAAAGAACTTATGAAGGCTTTCAGCTGATTAGCAGCTGGAAATCTGAGTTCTTAATGAAGCCATGCACAAAACCTCGAAAATTATCAAGCCTGCAAAATTAAGTGGTTTCTTCAGAGATTTTTAAGAGTATACCGTTTCCAGAAGAGACATTCACTGTTCAAAATATTTATCTAAAATGCATCCCACACCATTCAGGATGCTTCTGTGCATCATTCAAATGGCCCAGGGCAGGCTAGATATAGACTAGAAATGAGCTGGGTTTGCATAGCCCCACACTGCACTGTGCTCTGCACTCCTG